TTTTCTTTTGTTCTATTTAACCATAAAATACAAATTTAAAAAAATTAATAATAATAATTAAGAAAGTTAAAAATCTTTAATTATATGCAGTGTAGATCAAAGGATTTAGAAGTAGTTATATTACCTGGTCATAAGGGGTTGTTTGGTTGGGGGATTCGTACCCCGATTCGAATCATGGTTCATGGTTCATTATAGTGTTTTCTCTCACAAAAAATACACGTAAATCGAAAATAGTTCTAATCTCATGATTCTAATCCATGAACCAAACGTCTTCAAGTATTTCTGGGTGGGTCTGTTGTCTTTGGTTCAGAACTGAATTGATTAAAGACTGTTAAGATATGTATTTAAAATAGTAAATGTTGATTTTTATTGATAATTGATATAAATTAGTAAATATGTCTTACTTTGTGGTCAACCTTTTTGGATATATTGGTTGATATTTGTGGTAGTGGTATTGAAAAATGGACATCTTCAAATATTTTTGAAACAACTATAGTTATTTGTGCTCTCCTTTGTTGAAAATAACTTTGCAAGATTTTTGTTTGTCTTTTTAACTGAGCAATGATTGGTAGAATTACAAATGGATCAGTAAAGCCTTCATCAATTGTTAATGTAGAGTATGGTTTTTTTTATCAATGCTTGTGCTGCTCTTCCAACCACTGAAGTAATTTCTAGTTTAATTTATTTAAAAAGGTGCGACTTTACTTTATTTTCGTGCATTTTTATTTAATTTTATTTTTTATTCAAATTATTTATACTATTATCATTTGAGAGGCTTTGAAAATTTGGCGCAAAATGATATTGAAATGGATAAAATCGGACCACAAATCAACACCTTTCTTTTTGAATGCTTTTCTTTTTTAGTCTTTGTTTAGTTTTAGTCTTAAACGTGCGCCATCCACACATGATTAATTTAAAATAACGCCCAACACAAATTGTTTCTTTTTTCTACAAAGAAGTACAAAAGATGACATAAAAAATGAAAATAATGAAAGGAAAAAATCTTAAGCAAAGAGGGAGGGAAAATAATTTAACATATTTCGTTGTGTTTTAAATTAATTCTACTTTGTCTTGTTTATTTTGTTATCTAATTTGGTGTTATTTAATTTTAATTGAGCGTATTTTTATTTAATTTTATTGTATTATTTTTTAGAAAAATTTGGCACAAAATGGTGGTAAAACGGACAAAATTAAACTCTAAATCAATTCAAAATAGTAAATAACTATAATAAAGAATAAAAAAGTAAAAAATAACCCGGAAATGGTTTGAAATTGTCTAATAAAAAATTTTGACAGTTGTAATTCACGAGTAAAAAGCACGTGTAAGAGAAGCGCGTTCAGTCAGGGGAAGAGGGTAGTTTCGCAGTATATCAATAATAATAATAATAATAATAACAAAAAAATAACAAAAATAAAAAAAAAACAAAACAAAATTGAAAATTAAAGAACTTTATTTAGAGCTCTTCAAAAGAAAACTATTTAGAGGAATCTGAAAAATAAGGGATAAGGAAGGATATCTTCAGTAATTAAGAGGTGTTGTGAGAATACTGGTCGTATTTTGTTTTTTTTTTTTTTGAATACTGGTTGTAGGTTCTAAGTTCAAAGGACTAGCTCGTTACTAATCTAATTGGTTAGGCTTTTTTAATCTCAAATTAAGCTGTCACGCGTTTTCCTAATGGAATAATAATAAACTATTTTTGGCATTTTCAACAATGTTAGGTGGAGAGGCTGCTGTATAATGGAAAGTTAGCTAGAAATGTGTCTTTTTCTAAAGATGAGGTATCAGAGTTAAATTATTTTAAGTGCGGTCTATTTAAAAAATGTAATTAAATTATGATATGGGTTTTGATTTAATTCTTTATGAGTGAATTATTGGCAAAATTTTTTTTTTTAATTTAAATTCTTTTGAGAAGAAAATAATATAATAGAATTTTAATTTTAATTTTAATCAATATATGTATTAAACAACCTCTAAATCTTTTGTTTCCGACGACTTATTAAAGGATACATGTGCGCATAATTTCTTAATATATGTTTGCCTAGAAAAATGTAAAAGTTAACTTCCCAAGGCATTAAGGCAAGACTTCTGCACTGATATTCTATTAATTTCCATCTCTTTTATTAAATGAACAAGCAGTTTCTGCCTCATTGTTAATATGGGAGAAAACTTACCACTAAGGAAAGGATGGTTAAAAAATATTATTTATGTCACTTTATTAAAAAGTAAATAATTGATATTTAATTAATAAAGAGAAAATAAAATGTATAATAGTATCTAATAATTTCGAGTGGCATAAATGATAGGTTTACACAAAATTATGATAAATTATGAACTTTTTTCTTTGTTTTTTTTTAATGAAAGTTTTTTTTTTTTAATATAGGCAAGATGGCAAGAAGATGTGGTACGGCTTCCTATATATGGCCGTGAAATTTCTCAAGATAATCATGAAGTCGTCTTAGTTTCTTGGTCAACATGAAACGACATCTGAATAGAATATTAATTTCAGATTTAGAGATGTGATCATCTTAGCAAACAATATCTAATAGAGACAGAGAAATTTGAAAACGACATGAACAGTATAATGACCTCAAATGTGACGACGAGAAAAACGACAAAATAATGGAAACTGAAAAAACAAACAAAAATAAGCCGGAACGACATTGGTCCGAAATACAATACAATGAATACATGATCTTAAAAACGACAACCAAACGTAAAACGACAATCACTCTGAAAAACGCATAACCAATATATGAAAACGACACAACAAAAAACCACAATAACCTTAAAAACGACAATCACCGTGATGAACGACAAAACCCCCAAAAGCCAGAAGACATAAAAAAATAACATTCTTAAAAATAAAAACTAAAAACTAAAAACAAAAAACAAAAAACACTTCGAGTGGGAATTCTAAATCTACACCTTGTGAATGAGAACTGAAATTACGTTAATCACAAAAACAACATCAGCTTGAAAACAACTCAGTCACCAATTGAAATTTATCAGGGAAAATAGAACTGCAATGAAATATATATCCATCAGCCAACAATTTCTTCAGAATCAATGTTAGCTTTGTGCAAACTTTGACGCAAATTACAAGAAGCTACTAAACTTTGTCGGCTACGGCATATTCTTGGGTTAGAAATCTAACATAACGATTGCGGAGAGAAAAATTGCTAAACTTTACCCTTTATGGATATGTATTTCTACCTTGATTAATCTTTTATTGACTAATATAGTTATTTGATTAAAAATGGTATTAATCAAAAATAAAAATAAAGAAAAAAAACCGAGACTCTGAAGGGTAATAAGTTGTTTAACGAGGTCTTTTCCATTTATACTTTTTTTTTTTTTACTATAATACTTTACTTTTTTGTTTGTCCCTGCTAAAAATGTTGCAAACATTAAACCATCGGCAATATTTATAGTTGATTTTCGGTTTATTTAGGGTTTTACATTTAAAATATAAGGTACTCAAATATCAAATCATATGATATAATATATATCTGATAAATGACTAATCAAGGTAGAAGTTAAAAGTAGCCAACTTTGTGCAATTGACATTTGTCTCTGAATTGTTAACGAATATCTGATAAATGACCTATCTATGAATTGACATTTGTTTTGAATCGATCATTAATCTAAACGAAACTAAACTCAAATTTTTCCCCTGTATCCAAGACGCCATAAATTAGACAAAATGCTTCTTTAAGCAAGATGAACATACACATCCCAACTAAAAAATACGTCCTAAATGTAAAATTTTGATGAACATACAACTCAGTGGTACTTGCCATCTCTAGTGAAGATAAGTAGATACCACAATTTTTGTTTTGATACAAACAAAGAAGAGGGAGCGATTAGCATCAACGCACACTCACATATTCTAACTAAGTTGGCACCCACTAGAGAACCCAATCTACACAAAGCTACCCTCTCGAATTTATTAAATGAAGAAAGATATAACAAAATACAAAGTTCAACAATCCGAGAATGAAAACAACATTATTAAGTGCAGTTCTAATTCCACTACGAGAGGTGTCTCAAACAAACATGAACATCACCAGTTTCTTAAGCCAACACAACAAAAGAGAGAAAATTTTAAAAATAAAACAGCAACTAAGTCTCTTTTGAATCACCCTTACGCAGCGGGAGGCCAAAATGTCCCAAGTTAAAAACCATCATGCCACCTACTTAGGCAGCTCCCTCCTACAGAACAAGTGAAACAGAACTTTAAACAAGATGAAGAAGTCGATAGATGCACGTTACGTTAGCATAGATGAATATATATTTCAGTTGTGAAATTTAAGTATTAAGAAGAAATAAAGAACATATTTCATAGAATACTAACAGCAATAAAATATAGTTTCAAGATAATAAAAATTATATGATTGTGATGAAAAACAACTCAGTTTGTTCATATCTAGAGTAACAACTAACAAGAGCGCAGAGTTCTACTAACATTTGTATTGGACGGACTTGTTAGTACCAGAGTGACTTCTTCTAAACATTTGTATGTATGTAGAATTCTCTGTTAATGCTATATGCTTAAAAGGAATAGCAGGGAAACTTTTTCAAAGGAATTAAGAATAGTGGGAAAAAAGATTGAAAGTTGTGTGTCTATTTTGAAATGTTGATAAGCATAATAAACTCAAAAAGAAAAAAAAATGAAAAAATAGAGTGGTTAAAAATATTGAATCATTTATGGAATTGTACGCCTAAAAAATAAATAATGTGGATCTTATTAAAGGAGAGAAAATAGCATTTTGAAAGACACTCATATATATATATAAATGTTTTATTTTGAAAGGACAGATCATACAACTAATGTAGGTATCTAAATCTTGAGAATCAAAAAAAAAAAAAAAAGTTGATAGGCATAGTAAATTTTTAAAGATAAAAAAGAAAACATAAAAAATAAAAATCGTTTAAGAAAAGCAGGTGCATCACAAAATAAATAAAAAAGAATTAGAAGGGAGGACCTCATGTAGAATACTCACGTTGTCCTGCCACGAATTGATACGGTGGGAATATGAGAAATCTTATGCCAGTCCTCCCCTCTCTCTCTCTGGTACCTTCGTTCAAGGAAAGGACACTCCTCTATCCATAAATCGCGAACATGAGTTGGCTGTAATATTTCTTCTGGCAAAAGCTGGAGCTCTTTGCACTTCGTTATCCATAACTCAAGGGATGCTACGCTTTGAAAGGCGGTGCTGTTTAGGCCTTTAAGGTGTGGAAAACTCCCGAGGTACAAAAAAGTTAAAGAGCTGGGAAGCAGATCCTCTGGAAATGAGTCCAAAATTATGTTTTTACTGCCTGCAATGTGTAATGATGTCAGAGACGTCAGCTTTTGCAGATCCCAGTGCTTGTGTTGTCCGATGAGTTTACAGCAGTCCCAAATTGCAAGATTATTTAGACTTGAAGGCAATCCTCCTTCGGGAAATGACTCAATTTCTGGACAATTATCCATTTTCAAATCAGAAAGAGATGGAAGAAGCCTGTGCATGTGTTCCGGCAGTGACCTGAAATTCTTGCAATTTTCTATGTTTAAGGAATTGATCAGAGACTCGTGTGCAGTGCTCGTTCTTTCTGTAAAGGTAAGTGATTCCAAATTCTGACAACTGCCCGACCAAAGCACTTCAAGTCTTGGGAAGTAGTCTAATGGTAACGACTTTATGTAATCACAATATCCACCCATAATTCTCAACTCTTTAGCGTGTACATAATGGCCGCTCCTTGGGAACTCTAATTTGTTGCAGCTCACAATTTCTAGCATTTCTATCACATCAGGTGACTCCACACTTAGCTCCTTGAGATTTTCACACCCCTGCAACTTGAGCTTCTTCAGCTTTGGGAATTTATCTAATGGAAGAGACTTCATAGATCTAAAGCTTTGTAAAATCTCAAGAGTTTCTAATGTGTCACAATCAGGTAATAAGCTCCCAGCTGGGTTTGGACAACAATAAAAGCAAAGCCTTTTGAGACGAGGAAATGATTTTCCCACTTTGCCGTCTCCGCCAATAAATGACCACTCCTTCCAATTCTTCATATTAAAAAACTCTAGAATTTCTAAAGATTGAAATGGAGTAATAGAAGAGCTATTACAGGTATTGTAAAACTCATCACCTATTTTTTCCACTCCACGGAAGTTTTTAATCACAAGCTCTCGAAGAGAAGGTAACTGCCCGAGTGGTGGGAGGAACGAACAATATTCATTACCACATAGAGAAATCGATTCCAGCTTGGAAAATGAAGAACATCCAAGCCAATCTGGGAAATTTGAACCTGCATATTTATCAATAACGAGTTTCCTCAAGTTTGTGTGAGGTTCCAGTGCATTTAATGCCTCCCTTGCTCTTATTGTGTCAGTAACTTCACCTTTCCATTCCAAACGTAGCTCAGCAAGTTTCTCCTTATCCCTCAAACAATGGACTTTCAGAATGTCGCTATTGTTATCAATGTTTTGAAGCCCTGAAATTCGAAGATTGCAGCGCTTCTAACTCTTGAATTCTCGAACCACTTCCATCTTTGCCTAAAACAAAATTAGTCAATGTCTGCAACTCTTTCAAGTTACCCATTCGTGGTGGCATCTCTTTTAGAGGTGCCTTAGTGGTATCAAGGTGACGCAAGTGGATTAGTCTTCCCATGTCCTTAGGCAACAAAGTAAGTTTTCGACAATAGCAGAGTCTGCAAATTGTACAGAGTGCAAATTGAACAAGGTATCTCTTCAATGTTACTGTCAGACATGTCCAAATACCTTAGATGCTTCAGTTTACAAAATGAATCATTCAACGTTTGGAAGTCAGTCGCTGCTAGGTTAGAGAGCACTCTTAAGTACCTTTCTCCTTTCAACACTTCTTTAACCAATTCTTGATCAAATGATAAATATAACTTCAATGATAAGAAGGTTCGTAGATGCCTGGCTTCAAACCGACCTTTCCATAACTTGAGTTCACTTGATTCTCCCTCTATTGATATATAACGAGTCTTTTTTGTAGCCTGCTCTACATTTGTAGCGTCATCAACTCTGAAACAGGCTTCTCCCGATACAAAGATAGCTAAATCATGCACAAGGTCATGCATGACGAATGTGGACTCATCTTGATTCGATCTTTGAAATATTGACCTTGCCATTAGCTCATCAAAATGCTCATCCCCAACCTCTTCCATTCTCTTTTCTTTCTCATCAGACTGCAAAAAACCTTCCGCCATCCACAATAAAATTATTTTTTTCTTTTCAAATTCGTAGTCTTTGGGAAAAATCGAACAATAAGCAAAACACTGCTTGAGACTTGAAGATAGACAAGAATAGCTGAGCCAGAGCCCTGGAAGAATATTGTTGCGTAGGTTTTTGGACCACACATGGTTCCTTAGAATGCTTTCCCATGTTTCTGGATTTCTGACAGAGCGTAAGAGACCACCAACAGATCTTACAGCTAATGGAAGGCCTTTGCACTTTTCAACAATTTTTTCCCCAATTTCTTGCAGACGTGGATCTAGAACAGAGTCCCCATTGAAGGCATGGTCTACAAAAATTTTCCAGCAATCCTCGTTGGATACTTCTAGTAGCTGATGAATTTTCCCCCCGGTCTTTACATTTGATGCAACTTTTTGGCTGCGTGTCGTCACAACAATCCTACTTCCGGAATCCCCAGACGTAAAAGCGCTCCTTAGAGAATCCCAATTGTCGTAGTTCTCATCCCAAACATCGTCAAGAACAAAAAGAAATTTCTTGCCTCTCAAAGCCTCTTTCAATCGTCCTTGAAGTTCAGCTACTTCCTCAATGCCACTCGTCATTTGGGGACAAACCTGCTGGAAGATAATCTTTGTTATTCTAAATATGTCAAACTCTGTGGATACAGTAACCCATGCTTTGTGATGAAAACCATGTTTCTTCGCTCTGTCATCATCATATACAAGTCGAGCAAGGGTGGTCTTGCCAAGACCACCCATACCCACGATGGGAAGCACCCCTATCTTATTGCCCCAAATCTCATTTGATAGCAACAACTTTAGGATCTCCTGTTTATCATCATCTCTTCCATGGACATGACTTTCTTCTAGCAAAGGAGCAGGTGATCTTTGTAAAGATCGGATGTTTTGAGCAAGATCAATATGCGTCAAACAAAGGGTAGCTGCTCTTTCTAAGAGGAAACTCAAATCCTTCAAGATATTCTCTATTTCACCTCGTACAGTTTTGTCAAATTCAGTGAAGGGTGTTAAAAGTGCCACCATCTTCTTTAGCGCGTTCGTTGTCAAACAAAGGGTAGCTGCTCTTTCTAAGAGGAAACTCAAATCCTTCAAGATATTCTCTATTTCACCTCGTACAGTTTTGTCAAATTCAGTGAAGGGTGTTAAAAGTGCCACCATCTTCTTTAGCGCGTTCGTTGAGCTTTCAGATTCCTGCTTGGATAGAGCTTCAGCCTTGATCTTGTGACGACCCTTCTATGAGGCCGCCACTGTAACTTAAACTTTAACTTGTACTTACTGGGGTTTCTTAAAATTTGCGGAACATTTTTTTTTTTTTAATATAAGAAATAATACTTTCATAATTTGTAACAATAATTTCAAATAAGTGAATCACTAAATTTCTTAAAGCTTTTCTTAATTTCAGTTAAGATAAAACGTTCTAAAAATATCTTTCAAACAGAGCAGCATTTGAACTCTTATTTCAAATGCTCTTTAAAAGTCTTTCTAAAACTAGCCAATTCAATCGGGCCATTTAATTTTGACTTTAAAACGGATTTCGTGAGAAATCTTAAATTCAAGTACATCTTAAAGCCCTTTTAAAATCAATCATTTAAATCGTCATGTTTAAAATTTATTTATTTGTTGCA